AAGTGAGGTTCTTACCCACGAAAGCTTATGCTCCCAGTACTTCTGTTAGTCTCAAAGGTGCCACAGGACCCCCTGCAATGTGATGGCCCACAGTAAATAAGATCCTGAATAAGGATTTACACAGATTCAAAGCTTAATCTGCCCAGATGAGCGAGTTAAGAATCTGTTTTAGTATGTAGATGGCCTCCATTTCCCTGACATATGAGCACCTCACCATCTTTAACAGATTTATCTTCCTCTTTACGAAGAAACACAGATAGGATCAGACCCTAAGTCCATCTAGCCCAGTATCCCGTCTCCGAATATAACCAGCACCAGCTGCTTCAGAGGGAAGTGTAAGATCCCCACAGTAGCAGATGTGGGATAATCTGCCTCCAACATAGGTCTCATCCTGGTCTCTAATCACGTCACCTTGGCTTATGGCCTGAAGCACAATGGTTAACATCCCTTCCCAAGTATTGATTATCATTAGTTATGACGATTGTGTCTATCAAGGGAACACCTCTGGGAGGGGATGCCTTGCTGTGACCCCCATTGGGCAGGTGGGGAACTAAGGCACAGGGAGGCGAAGTCCCAGCTCCTTGAAAGTGTTTACTCACCTAACTCCCATTGATTTCAAGCCTAAGTGACAGAGGAAGCCTATGAGAGCAGATAATGGAGTCTGGGTCTCCCAAAGCCCAGGCTAGTGCTGTGACCACTGAACCATCCTTCCCCATCTATTTCACTTAGAGTTTTCCACTACAGGTTTATGAATAATAAATACTGTACAAAACAACTGCATCTCCAACAACATTCTAAGTTGAAGCTCAAACAATGGGCCAAATCCCTACAGGACACAGCAGGCAGAAAGCTGCTCTACCAGGGCAGCTGGGATTCCCTTTGATGGTACAAAGTCAGCCATCCACATCCACCCTGACATAAGGTAGGACGGGACGTAGCCAGAGCGCCTTGTGTTCCAACAATCCTCAGCCAACGGAACAGTCCCAAGGGAACCATTCCAGCCAGGGTAACTTAGTGCAACCCTTAGGCTGCTCTAAGCTACACCAGGAGTTGAATCAGATCATGAGACCACAGAGGTGTTTTATAGCCACATCTCCACCCTTCTCTCTTCAGCTGAGACCAAACCATCAAGCCACCTATATTATTCTTCTGTGACATCATATCCCAGAATCCTTTCTTTGATCCAAACCAAACAAACAAAAACAAGTCCCCCATCCTCACCTACCCCCCAAAAAAGACCCAAAAGCCAACATCCAAAGTCAAGCCATACACAATGATTTCTAAAACTGACAGTTAATGGAGCCATATATGGTAAAAGTAGAAATTTCCATTCCAGCCAAAATGCCTTCACCTTGAAGAGAAACTGTGGTAGTGAGAGTAGGAGCCAACAGCTCTGTGGCTTGTATGGTCTTGTATTCAATGTTGGTAACAATATTCCCATATCATTCGTTAAAGGTGAGGTCTAGGAAAGGACAGAGATGTGTACTTCTGTTTAAACTAGGAAGGGGGCAACTTCTGCTGAGTCCACAGGTTCAGAGAGCCAATATTTCCAAATATCAGTTGGGAAATATGCAGCTGTTGAAGAGTCCACTGGGCCAGGATTATCGGCCATCAGCAAATTGACAGGCAGTCCGTAAAAAGCCATGACCATTGGAGCAAGTCTGCAGGAAAAGGTGTCTGGGATCATGGAGAGGACCCGAGGCCTACATGGGCCCACAGTGCATATGCCTTAATCCTGCCCTGGCCTTGATCCAAAACGAACACAGCTGTGGAAGAAAGTAGGAAAGGAACACAGAAAAGAGACAGGAAGGCTGGTGACAGCTTGGGGTCAGAATTAAGGTGGCTTGGATGGCAATGGCTGTGCATTTCCTTACTTGCTAACATTTGGGTTTATGTTTAACCTCACCTGGGTCTCCCCTTGACATTACTGACACATTATACACTAACCCTCCCCTCCAGCTGAAGGAGCGGTTTTGTCTGGGTCATTCATTAGCTTATGTTTTGGCCCAGAAGGGGAGGAAAAAGAAAGGAAGAGACTTTCGCTCTGTTGCTAGCTAGCTGCATGCAGAGCTCTCCTAAAAGTGCAGAGGGAATGGCGGCAGCAGCAAGGAGCAGACAGGCACAGGCCTGTGTACCGCAGCAGCACACAGCATAGACAGGGATTTATGGCTCTCTCTCCTGTCACCGTCTGCGCTACAATTCCTGGACAGTGCTGCTGTTGCTTGGCGGCTGCAAAGGATCAGCACAGATGCTGGAGCTGATGGCCCACGGGTACAATACACACAGCAGATACACTGTAATGCTGCTAAGCCTAGCAGGTTTTCAAACCGATGGAAGGGGGAAAAGAGGCATTATTAAATTGCACTGCTAATGGAAGGCCTGGGTTGTGCGATTTGAGACCAGAAGGAGCTACAGATATAGAATAAGACTGGGAAGGGCTCAGCAAAATGCATGGGCAACAGATCCTCAGCTGAAAGTGGCTACGGCTCAGTTTTCTCCCTTTCTTTGCTAGCTCTGGCCAGCCACTGGTAGCTGTTATATCTGCTCCTACACTTCCCATTACCTCTTCTGGATTCCAGAGAACTCCTGTAGCTACCAGCGCTGTGAAGGGCAGAAGTGTCTCTGATCACTGCTGTTGATCTCATGATAGCAAGGAGAACTCTGGCACTGCTGTTTTTGCTTTTCACTCCAGTCAGCAAGCTCACCCCTCTGAATGCTCCCACACTCTGGTGCACATCGGATTAGGAAGCTCCAGCCAGAACCTTCGGCTCCTGCACAATGGGTGTGTCTGATCCTGGAGGTCACATGTCCTAGTGCTCTCTCGAGGCTTGGAATTCTCCCTCTAATGCTGGCTTGGTGCCTCTTTTCCCAAACGCCCAGCAGCCACACAGCATCCAGTCTATGATACTGGTGCTGCCACGCTGTACTGCTAGTTCCAGCCCACAACCATGCAGCGGGAGGCCACCAGCGCAACTGGGTTCTGTGTGCTTGCTATTGCTGCTGCGCGTGCTGCTGCTACTGCTGGTTGTCATTCATGGCAGGACAAAAAATGAATCATATCTGCAAATGCAGTTCTTGAGTGCATGGGGAAGCCTAGCTCAGACAGAGAGGAGAAAGAAGCCTAGCTTGGACAGAGAGGAGACACTGGGGTGGAATGAGTGTCTGATCAGTCTCTTATGAACAGCCCAGAGACACGTGAGCCAAATTGGAAGGCCTCTGGGACCAAACAGGAAGAAGATAAACTAGAGGTACCCAAAGTCAAAGGGTCTCCTGCACTGTTAGTTTGTTTTATTGATATTGGATTAATTTATTGTGCTCAATATCTATCACTGTTTCAATGGGAACTGCAGGTTCTCTGAGACAGTACATGAATAGAATGGTTGTAGTTTTCCACCATCTTCTCTCTCCAGTTAGCACCTGCTCAAAAGGATTCTGTTTGGATACTGCTACCACATTCTAGCTTAACGCTGAAGACTCACTTCCTTTTCCTTTGCTTTCACTCATTCGCTTGGCAGCACACACTCACTTCGGGCTTGATCAGTCAGTGGGAGTCTTTCCACTGGCTTCTGAGGGCTTTGCATCACGCCCTTATTGCATTTCCTTTTGGAAGGTGCCCGGAGATTTCCAGACACCATCAAGTGCTCTCGACACTGAAGTTGGCTACCCTAACTGCCCACCGTGTATCTCTTGTTGTGTAACTCCTTATCACACTGCTCCTTGAGTCATCACCACAGATAGCCCTTTTCCTCTTCCTTCCTCTTCATCCTCCCATAGCCTCAGGTGCAAACGGTACTCATTTTCTGCCACGTATTTCAGTCTTGAGCTAGTCCATTCAGGCTTCTGGGTGTCATGTTGATGGATTTGGAGTCTGTATCTGCTGTTCTACATAATGTTCCTCTAGGTCACCCTCTTTTTCTCTTCCCACGTGGTGTCCGTATTGTCATTTAATATGGAAAATGTGTTGCGGACATCCTTAAAGAATATCCTAAATATGTCCATCGTTGTCTTCTTACCATATTTGATGCTTTAGGCTGGTTTGCTCAAGAATGTCTGATGTTGCAAGAAACTCTTTCCAATGGACTCTGAAAGATCTTCTGCAGGCATTTACTTTAGAATGAATTGATCTTATAAATTTCTTTTGTAGATGTCCATGACTCTGCTCCATAAAGGAGGACACACGATGCCAATGTTAAAAATTGTATTTGTGAGTCAGTGCCAATCATGCTACTATTCTAAATCTTTTCAAGCTCATGCAAGCTGTTTGCTGCTTTTGATATTTGTTGCTTAACATCTAGCACAGTTTCACCATAATTACTCATCTCAGTCTAGACAGGTAAAATGACTTACTTCTTCCAGGGTTTCTCCTTTTACTCCAATGGTTGCTATTGGGACATTGATAGCCATATATTTTGTCTTCCCCTTGTTGCTAAACAAGCCAACTTGTTTTGCCGTATCTGCCAAAAGCTGGGTCTTTTCTTCCACTGAGCGATGTATTGCACTAAGCAAGAACTAAAGGGATACTAGGGAGTCTGTTATTCTTCTTACTGTAGGAAAGAAAAAATGCTACTGCCACAATAGCACTGTTCAATCAAGGCACAAGTCATTTCTACACTAGTACCACTTAGGCCTAAAAAATACCACCTCTGAGACACTTATGGAGGGGAAATGAAGGCTGTTCGCAGGGAGTAACTGATTGATGGAATATGTTGATTGATTCATGCTGTATGTCAGATGCAGAATGATGAGAACTCCTGCCAGCAAAGTCACAGATCTATGATTAAAACAGGTGTAGCTGGATGTAAATGGTTTAGTCTATTGCTGCTAGTATGGGATACAAGGCAGATGAATTTGTAAGGCTTTCCTACGTCCATTTATTAAAGCAGGATGTTAGGGCCAGTCCTGAGCATTTTACACAAATGATTTAAATTCCCCAAACCCAATTTAATAATCAAATGAAACCCCTAAAATAAAACAAATTCAGTGTCGTGTTAAACCTTCAGAGGAAAGGCAAGTTGCAAACTTGGAGTAGTTCAGGGAATCAGATACATAGAGGTGCGGTGGGAGAGAAGAAACAACAAATTTTGTGCCAAGCTTCTTTCACTAGAAATAAGCTGGTTTGTAGGGGATGATCATGGACAGTGCACAGCTGATGAGTAGGCCTACAAGAAAGGAGGACCCGACAAACATTGGGGGTCACACCCATAAAAAGATATAAACAGCACAGAATTAAAATTGTATGAACTATCCTGGATGGCCCTGCAAGATTGATTGAAATCAGAGTGAAAAGTTGCTTCAGGACTGGGTGAGTCAGATATTGTTCCAAATCAGGAAGCATAGTGGCAAACAAATTTCCTGTGTGTCACCCCTTTATTTGAATAATATAAAACGTGCATGTGGTCTGTACAATATCCTACATGTGACACAGAAAACAAGAGCAAGAAAGAATTAAAGTTATAGTTTAAGTATATTAAAACTCATATTTTAATTCACATGCTGTTAAAGCTATATTTAAAATAGATGCATCAAGTCCTGCAATCCTTACTTGGTTTTTACCCAGTCCTTACACTAGGCAAAATTCCCATTTGTTTCAAACAAAAATTTGACCGAGTAAGGCCTGGAGAAGAACAGAGAAAGGATATCAAGATTTGGTCCTGTGCTAATATTAGAGCTGGCCAAGAAATTATTTATTTTCTCTGCAAACATTTTTTATTTAAAAAAAAAAAAGGAGTTTTCACTGAAATATTTTAGGTTTTCATAAAAAAACCAAAACTGTAGCTGGTTGGAAAATGGAATTCCCCTCTCAGAGGAAATTCCAACGTTTCAACATTTATTTTTGTGCTGCTGCTTCTTCTGCATGGTGATAGGGGAACAGTGAAAGCAATACTGTGACTACAGTTGGATCTTAAGGTCTCTTGTCCATTCCAGAGCTGAGGGGGTAGCTATGTGAATGGCTGTCATACCTTCAGGATGAGCATAGAGTGGGCAATTGTCCGTGATGTGTCCAACAGTTTGCAGTTTTTTGTGCTGAATCAGCATGAAACATCAAAATAGCAAAAATTTTCACATAATGAAAAGCTGAGAAGAAAATTGATTCAGAAATACTGAAATGACAAATACAGACTTTTTCAATGAAAAGCAAGTGTTTTGTTTCAAAATGTAGATTTTGAACTTTTGTTCAGACTTGACAGTTTGGCTTAAAATGACAAAAGCAAAATTTTCCTGTGGAGCAGACATTTTGAAATGAAAAAAAAATTGTGAATGTTCATTCAAGATGAAATTTTTCATTGCAATCTTCTGGTGCATATTTTCTCACAGGAAATTTAGGTGAAACCAGACAAACATTTTGGCCAAAATATATTGTTTAAAAATGGAGATTTGTTTTTTCAACAAAATGCTGCAAAATTAAATGAAAATTGACATTTTTTGCCAAAAATTCTGTTTTGTAGAAAAGTATTGAGCAGCTCAATTAATACAGTGAGGGTCATACCTTTGTAATGTACATTTAGCCAAGTATTGTACCACTTCTACCACAGGTACATAGGATTCGGACAAGGCTATCCTTGTCTTTTGCACTGGCATATGCCTTTTGGAAGTGAAGGGAGGGAAACAAAAAGGTTCAGAGAAGGGCAACTAAAATGATTAGGGGTTTGGAACGGGTCCCATATGAGCAGAGATTAAAGAGGCTAGGACTTTTCAGCTTGGAAAAGAGGAGACTAAGGGGGGATATGATAGAGGTATATAAAATCATGAGTGATGTAGAGAAAGTAGATAAGAAAAAGTTACTTACTTATTCCCATAATACAAGAACTAGGGGCCACCAAATGAAATTAATGGGCAGCAGGTTTAAAACAAATAAAAGGAAGTTCTTCTTCACACAGCGCACAGTCAACTTGTGGAACTCCTTGCCTGAGGAGGTTGTGAAGGCTAGGACTATAACAGCGTTTAAAAGAGAACTAGATAAATTCATGGAGGTTAAGTCCATTAATGGCTATTAGCCACGATGGGTAAGGAATATTGTCCCTAGACTCTGTTTGTCAGAGGGTGGAGATGGATGGCAGGAGAGAGATCACTTAATCATTACCTGTTAGGTTCACTCCCTCTGGGGCACCTGGCATTGGCCACTGTCGGTAGACAGGATACTGGGCTAGATGGACCTTTGGTCTGACCCAGTACGGCCATTCTTATGTTTCTCATGTTAAAAGTTGTCACTCACAGCCCTTGTTCCCCATCTACTAGCAGCTGTTTTAGGACACCCCCACCCCCCGACTACAGTTCAGAGGAGAGCCCTTTTCATCTGCTTGCCATGATGCAGCCACATGGTGAAGAAGCAGGGCCGGCTCCAGCACCAGCGAAGGAAGCAGGTGCCTGGGGCGGCCAATAGAAAGGGGCGGCAGTCCATCCGTTGTTGGGGCGGCACGTCCGGGTCTGCGTCGGCAATTCGGCAGCGGGTCCTTCAGTGCCTCGCTTCGTCTTCGGCAGCAGCTCAATCGCTCTGCTTCAATCGGGTTTTTCTTTTTTTTTCCTCTTCACCGCTTGGGGCGGCAAAAAAGCTGGAGCCGGCCCTGCGATGAAGGGCCAGAGCAGAATGGCAGCGCAGAGATAGTTGAAGCAGGCACAGGGCCTGTGTCGATGCTGAAAGGTGGCACTGTCAGTGGCACAGTGACCCAGCACCCTTTGGTGGCACGATTCAGCGCTGGCTCTGAGAGCAGCGTGCCACCTCCTGAATTCCAGGGGCCCCTTCCTGAAGCACATAAGCTTTCCTCAGGGGTTTCCCATCCAATTCGGCCCACAAAAGGTTCCACCCTGCTTAGTTCATGAGATCTGACACAATCACAACCTGAGATAGGGACGTGTCTGTGTGACACAGGGACATTTTATGGCTGGGAAATAAATGCAGGCCTATCAGAGCATGCTGATTAATCCTACTTGATCTAGTTAATTTAGGAGGGATTAACTAACAAGCTTTCCCTTAATCCATGGCACTGCCTGCTCACAAACCCCACATGGCTCAGCCCGCTGGGGCACACAATAAGGGAGCAAGATCACATCCTGGCCCCCCGGGATGGGGTGACAACTGCTCCCATGTAGAAGAGTCTTTGCTGCCTGCGTTGCTTCCTGACAACTGTCCTTTGTCAACAGTTAATAAGAGACGTTGAGAGTATGGGGGGGTTGGGGGGGGGGGAAGTCAGAAAGATGCTGAGTCAGCAGCCACTACTCCTTTAACTGGAAAATTCACTCTCATATGCCAAAGAGATGAGCTGTTCTGACCCCGACAGTGCTCGCACCTTTCCTTACAACTGTGTTGCATCCTCTGAGGAAAGCAGCCATTCCGCAAGAAATCACACCATCATCTAACTCCGTCAGGCACCTCTCCTCCTCCCCTGCTACCGATGCAGCTTGGTTCCCGAGACTGAATTCCCCTAAACGCTGCATGACGCAACAGCCCTACACCCGACAGCTCTCACAGTAAACATTGTTCAAAAGGGAAGAGCACGCTTCGGGAGAACAAAAACTCAATGGTGAAAATCTCTCTATCTCCTCTCTTTTGTGCCTGGGCCTCATCTTTGCAGAGTTGGTAAAATCCAGCCAGCTGCCTTTCCTGCCCAGCCTCTATGCGGAGGAGCCCATAATGAGTGCTCTTTTCCGAATCAACAATTCAGTAATCTGAGTGCAGCGCTGAAGACAGTAGTGGCTATTATCACCATCCAGACGCTGGGCTCTCCGCTTTCAGATGGGAGGCAGACAGCACAAGGGGAATGGAGATCAGGAGTAAAGGGGAGAGGTTGGACCAAAAAAGGAACAGGGCCCAGTTTCTGCAGCCTTGAACCAGAAATCGCCAGGTGCCCACAAAACCAATAGCCGCTGCCTTTAAGCAACAAACATCTTTAACTCTGATGCACCCGATCCTTTCTAAACTGACACTCACTGGAGGCTCCAGACTGCAATACAGCGCGCCCTGCCTGAGCCAGGGAAATATGGTTAAAGATAAGCACATGAGCACTCCCATTGAAGTCAAGGGCACTATTTATGTGCTTGAAGTTAAGCACGTGATTCAGTGTTTCACTGGATCGGGCTAGAGCACTCAGCACCATATAGGATCAAGCCCTACACCCAGAATGTCAGCTGCCCCATTCAGGGACTCCTTCCCCAGTATTCCAAGGGTGGTGTTTCTGGAACTGAACACAGTCTGTTCTGTTGGCTGAGCTGGAATCAGCCTTGCAATCCAGCAGCAGCAGCAGGACACAACTGCTCCTGCTCTTTTATTTCCACAGCTGCCTCCACCCCAACTCAGCTCCATGCAACATTGAAACCATGATCAGATATACAGATTTCTGAATACATTGCTTGACCCGGAAATTTGTTTTTG